ATTACGTTGACAGTGGTAACAATGTCGGTGCCGGCGATCTCCTACCAGCGCGCAACGTAGCCAAAATAAAAAGCATGGTCATTTGAACACTGCTATTACAAAACCATAGTCAGCTGGCATCGGTGTCGCTGGGTGTATATGATAGAGGAAAGTTGTGCAACTAAATTTGCCGAGTTTTTCGCCGATAAAAAAATAACTAAGGCAAAAACTCACGGTTTTTCAGCATTATTGTAATAAAGACATTATTCTCCATCAATAATCCAACATTTCTACTAATTCTTGTGTTTTTTCGACGTTTTTCAAAAAACCTGTGATTAGGCTGCGAAAGTAGAACATTCTGGAGGGGATGAAACAGAATAGCATCGCCAGGCGATGGTCGCGGGGCTCTTTGGGAACGACCATAAACGTATCGTGTCCAGCCATTGGTTGGCCACATAGAGGTCAAATTACACTTTCTCTTTTTACGCGTTAAAAATGGCTCTTCTGTTTCACCTCCTTCGGAATGTTCTACTTTATGTAAAATCGGAGAGATTCTCGATTTCGATATCGAAACCGCTTTGGCTTAATTATTTGCTGACAAGTTGATAATCCCAAATAGTGCTAAATTGCCAGTTGTGAACTTTATCAGGATTTCCGTATGAAGTTACACATCATTCTAGCAAGGAAAAATATTGATTCCTGTTATATAATAAAATATGAAATAATTAATATTTCTCTTTTGTTAGTATATCTTTATTTATTAAAATATGTACACATTATATCTAATTGGGGTGGGTATTGCCAAGCAAGTGTATAAAATTATAAACAAATATTTTTTAAATAACACTGACCGCGAAATACGCCTTTGAGAAGTATTACTGATAGAATATGTTATATTGTAATTTCTTTCAATTTGAATTAGTTGCATTGCAATGCATTAGTAATAATGTAAATATATATATACATTCTTTTATTTGATTGTTGAGACTGAGTTATACAGTTTGTTACGTACTTCAATTTAACTATATTGGAAAACGGTTAAGGGGATTATTAATTTCAATAAACAATATTCTATCTTAAACTATCCTTTGCAACACCAATAAGATCATAATGGTAATGTTTATTGCTCCTTGAAACTAGAGGCATTATCAGAGCATGGGTTTTATTTTGGAACTCCTGCCAGGATGGTATTCCCAGAATAGTGCCAGTTGTTAAAGAAACATAAAACTTCAATTCTCAACAAGGATGAAAGGAACAGTTACTGAGACAAAGCCCTACTCCCCTCGAAGCTATTAGTCTATATTTAAAATGTCTTAGTGTAAACATGAACAATAATCTCAAATAATTCAAAAAGATTCTAAAATTAAGTGAAAAATGCTTACCAAAGCCTCAAATGGCCAGTGGACATGAAACAATCCATCCTGATGCCAGGGAGGTTCAAAGGCTGGTAAGACAAAGACTAATAATGTAGCTGAAAGTGGTGCTTGGTAGAACAGTAACTGCATTGAATTTACTTGATATTCATGTTGTTTTGTACCAACCCACTAATAAAGAAAACAAAATAATTATATGAAATAAAACAAACTGCATACAGTGAAAGTAATCAACAATAGAACAAGCTGATTATACAAAAAATGTTCTAAGCAAACAGTCTTTGAAAACAAAAAATCACATGATAAGAAAAACAAGTCATGCATGGCACAGTCCCCGTTAGTTATCAAATTTAAGATATATAGTTTTGTTTACAGTAATAAAGCTGGAATATGACCATGTCAGGAATATGATTTTTTAACATTAAAATGATTGACATTTGTATCTGATCGTCAAACAGGTACTTGTCCATATTGAGAGATATTGCTCTGAAACAGCATTCAAAATCAGCCATTTTGAATACATGTATATATATATAACATGATGTATAACGAATATATAAAATTTGAATATAATCAGTCAAAGCATTTAAGAGATATGGCTCTAGATGCCTATTCATTAAAACAAAATGGCTACCAGACAGCCATTTTGAATCCAATCTGAATCAAAGAAAACTTAGAAAGAACTCCCATGTGCTGAGAGTATTGGAGACACATTAAATATAATTCGAAATTACTTAGCTGAAAACTAATTATGCAAATCAGAAAATTAATATGAACTGATTTGAGTGTAAAACTAATGAGGTCTGCGCAATGTAACAGAAAATCTATGTTTCCAAGTTTAATTGAAATGTGATTAGAACCAAAAAATTATGAATTATTATGCTTATTAGGGAATTAATATGAACAGATTTTTACCCCAAACTAATTAGGTTTGTACATTGTCCTAGAGCATCTTTGTACTAAGTTTCATTGAAATGGAATAATTAGTATTTTAGATATCAAT